CCGAGCGCGAGAGGCCGGGGTGCGTCGCGGGGTGTTGTGAGGGGAGACCAGCGGGTGTGTGGGATGGGTGTGTGTGTGAGAGACCAGCGAATGTGTGAGGCCGTGGGGTGTGTGTCTCAGATTGAGAGTCCAGGGTGTGAGACCAGTGTGTGTTGGAATGAGAGGGAGACTACTAAAGGTTAAATAGGTCACTTCTGGCCAGTGATTTAATCAGTCATGCCAAAGTGAAGTTTTCCTTAAAAAAAAAAAAAAAGAACTGGGTTCCAGATAGCTAAATACATGAAGGTTCCTGTAGGGTGAACCGCGTCCCACATAACTTAATCCTATGCATCTCTTCATCTGTATCTTTTGTAATATCCCTTATGAAACACCAGTCAATGTGTTTCCCTGAGTTCTGTGAGCTGCTCTAGCAAATTGAACTCAAGGACATGGTCGTGGGAACCCCAATTTGTAGCCAGTCAAGCACAGGTAAAACAACCTGGGGCTTTGCAACTGGCGTCAAGAGGGAGCAATCTTGTGGAACCGAGCCCACAACCTGCGGGATCTGATGCTATCTCCAGGTAGATAGGGTCAGAATTGAATTGTATTAGTGCAGGAATCCCCAACCCCTGGGCCATGGACTGGTGCTGGTCCGTGGCCTGTTAAGAACCAGGCCGCAGAGCAGGAGATGAGCAGCAAGTGATCAGAGCTTTGCCTTCTGTCAGAACAGTGCCGGCATTAGATTCTCATAGGAGTGTGAACCCTTTTGTGAACCATGCATATGAGGGATCTAGGCTGTGTACTCCTTATGAGACTCTAATACCTGAAGATTCCCTCCCCCGACTCCCAGTCCATAGAAAATTTGTCTTCCACGAAACTTGTCCCTGATGCCAAATAGAGACACTCACCTGGTATTGATTGCAGAATTGATTGTGTAAGACCCCCCCCAACATGTTTGGTATTAGAAGTGAGAGTAGAGTAGGAGAAACTGAGTCTGTGTCAGGGACTGGATAGTGAGAATTCAGAGAGTGTGAGACTTGAGTATTTCAGTGTGTGAGAAATTGATGTGCCTCTGTATTAAAGATCAACAAGTGTGAGGCTCCCTGGAGAGTTAGTGGTAAGATCATGGCATGTGTGTGTGTGAAAGCAAGAGACTAGACTGTGGGAATTCAGTGATTATGAGAGACCAGGGTCTGTTGATAAGAGTGTGTGCGAGAGACCAGTGAGCATGTGAAACTGGAGTATGTCTGTGTCTAGCTCCGGAGGTTGTGTGAGGGTTGTGATTATCCAAATATGAGAGAGAGAGACTGGGGTGAGAGAGATTAGTATGTGTTTTGTGTGTGAGAGAGAAAGCAATTGGAACGTGGGTAACCAGTATAAGGTTGTGTATCCGTGTGAGAGACTGGAGTGTGTGGGAAATCACTGTCTCTGAAAGAGCCCATTGAGTGTATGAAAGACTGTCATGTTTGTATGTGTGAGAGAGAGAAAGACAAGTGATGTGGTTGTGTGTGAGATCAAAATGGTGAGTGAGAGACTATATGAACCATGGTGGAGCAGAAGACACCCTAAATTCTGGGTGACAGAGGAGGAGAAGTCAAGGGACTGAGAACAGAGATGAGAGTGAACGTGGCAATTGAGTGCTAAAGGTTCCATTGTTTCAGGATGAGGAAAGCGAAGGTTTTGGGGCTTTGGATGGAGAAAAAGGATAACTGTGGCCTCTGATGGTGTTTAGGAGTCAGATTTCTGAATTGTAGATTGTCAAAGCATGAAGCAGAGACCCAAGAAGAGAACAAGTTCCTCTTTACCTATAGAGGAAGTAGAGTTTTAAGTTATAGCCCCTTGATGGCCATAGGTTGCTCATAATGTCCTAGTTATGTGGACAAGGAACCAAAGAAAGCAGCGAAGCAGAAGAAGATAGTGTTTAGGTTAGTGATTCTGGGAGTACAGCAAAGGCCTCATCTCTCTAACCTTTCTCTTTCTCCAACCTTGCTTTCCCAGGAAGGACACTTTGGGAGGCCAAAGCAAGATGATTGCTTGAACCCAGGAGTTTGAGAACAGTCTAGACAACATAGTGAGACCTCATCTCTACAAAAAAAAAAAAAAATCAGTCAAGTATGGTGGTGCACGCCTTTAGTCCCAACTACTTGGGAGGCAGAGGTGGAAGGATTGCCTGATCCCAGGAGATCGAAGCTGTGGTGAACTGTAATTGGATCATTGCACTCCAGCCTGGGTGACAATGAGACTCTGACTTCAAAAATAAAAATAGAGGAAATAACTGTTTCATAGGATTATTTTAAAAATGAAATGACCATCTAATTATTTTTATTTGTAATAAGATCAAAGAATGGGAGAGCATCTTTTGGGAAAAGATTAAATTTAGGACCTCAAGCCTAAGGAAAATAAGAGTTATAAGTTATAGCCCCTTGATGGCCATAGGTTGCTCATGATTTCCCAGTTATGTGGACAAGGAACCAAAGAAAGCAAGGAAGCAGAAGAAGATAGTGTTTAGGTTAGTGATTCTGGGAGTGCAGTAAAGGCCTCATCTCTCTAACCTTTCTCTTTCTCCAGTCTTGGTTTCCCAGGAAGGACACTGCTATTCTCCGAGAGAGAGACCAAGAAGAGAAGGCAAAAATGAATGTTGAACTGGTAAAGGCCATGCCCCAGGTTAGTTGGTATTTACTTTCTCTTCATGAAAGCAGTCTTGCTGTTTAGGACTTAATTAATGCTTATCTTCTTTTGAAGATTTCTGAATTAACAGTCTAGTTCCAAGAGCCTAGTTCCCACTTCTCCCAGAGGATATTGTCTTTAGCTATAACTACCTAATGAGTGCGTAATAGCTGAGTATGATGATTCATGGAGGCCTTTCTGAGTCTCTTTTTCTTCCTACTTTGTGTACATTTAAAACTTACTGTTGACCCTTATGGAAAGACTTGATTTGTTATATATATGGAAATCTCAGTACCAGCAAGTTGGTCTCCAAGTTAAATGTGCCTCCTGTGCCTCTTCTGTATATAGAATGGATCAGGAATTCTTTTTCCAACTGAAATGTTGTCAAAATCTCCAATTATATCCTTAAATTCTTCCAAGTTTTTCTTCACATTTTAAGTATGAATTTCTAACCTCATTTGTTCACCTGAAAATATTATTCTATTTAAGTTTTGCAAATTTTATAAATTTAAATAGATAATATATGCAAATAGTTCAAAATTTAAAAGACATAAATCTCACTCTTACCTCCCAGTTCTTTTGAGAGATTATTCTCAGCTTATATCTTATTCAGAACTATGCCATGCCTTTGTGTATATACATAAATATTTTTTCCCTTCAAAGTTTATGCGTTTTTGTGTCCTGTGTAAGAAATCTTTGTTGGCCTGGCTTAGTGGCTCAGCCTGTAATCCTAGCACTTTGGGAGATCGAACAAGTGGATTGCCTGAGTCCGCGGGTTCGAGATCAGCCCAGGCAACTTGGCGAGATCTCGTCTCTACAATAAAAATTAAAAAATATACACGCACCTGTATTCCTGGCTACTTGGAAGGCTGAGGCGGAAGGATCGCCTGAGTCCAGCAGGTAGATGCTGGGGAGGCTGTGAGCGTGCCACTGCACTCCAGCCTGGGTGACAGAGTGAGATTTCAATACAAAAAAAAAAAAGGGAAATCTTTGTCTACACATAGGTTCTATTTTTTTTTTTAAATATTTTCTTTACCCTTCATAGTTAAGTTTCTGGTAAGCTTAGACTAGATTTTTGTGTTTTTCTACGATGGTAGGACTCAATTACATTAAATTATTACAGTAAATCTATAACCTATCCTGAAAAGTAAGGCAGAGGTTTATTTTTTCCAGTTGCTTGACAGTTGGCACAATGGCATTTATTGAATTATTCATATTATTCATCTCATTCTCACTGATTTAGAATGCCACTTATATCATGTACTAAATTCCTGTGTATATTTTCTTCTATTGCTGAATTGCATTGTTTTACTAAACTTTTTGTTTTTAATCTTATAACTTTAAAATATTATCATATTTGAACGAGTATAAGAAACACTGTATACAAAAGGAGCCCTTCATTTTCCCAGTGTGAAAATCTCCCCAGATTTTTTTTCCAAGTGGAAAACATACTTCCATGACATACATGGAAGTCAAGTGTCCATTGTTAATATTTAATTGCGTGTTTCATATTGAAAGTCACATTAATAATTTTAAACACTGTCCCCCCCACTGTTAGAGTTCACAAGATATTAAAAAATATTTACATGGATTTTGTGCATCTGTGTCTTCTTAAGCATTAGAGCCGTTTTTTGAATTATCTAACATAATTTTCCAAAGATAGGAACTTTTAGTGTTTGTGTGCATGATATTATCATTAAAATTGTATCTGGGCCGGGCCTGGTGGCTCAGCCTGTAATCCCAGCACTTTGGGAGGTTGAGGTGAGTGGATTCCCTGAGCCCACAGGTTCGAGACCAGCCCGGACAACTTGGTAAGACCTCATCTCTACAATAATTAAAAAATTAGCCAGGCTTCGAGGCACATGCCTATAGTTCTGGCTACTTAGAAGGCTAAGGTGGAAGGATCACCAGAGGCCAGCAGGTCGACATTGGGGTGACTGTGAGTGTGCCACTGCATACAACCTGGGCGATGGAGTGAGGCTCCCACTAAAAAAAAATTGTATCTGAAGTCACAGCACCAATTAATACAACAAATTGGGAGTTTTGTCCCCCCATTTGTCCTATAGTAGTAAGTTGGGGATATCTACTGTGTTACTATTCACTGTCTTAGTTTTGATATTTGACTTCATACTCCTGTTTGGAACACTATTTCTTGATTATCTTAGTTTTAGATATTATCTAGTAACTTAATGCTGTGGATGATAAAGATAGAATCCATTTAACAACTCCACAACCTGAAATGCATATACTTTTTTGTCAGACTTGTTATCTTATTACTATTTTTGTTTAAAGTCGTGTTCAGGGTAGCTTGGTGTCTTTCATCTACTTTGGAAAATTTTCAGCCACTAATTTTTAAATATTCTGAAACTTTCCTCCTAAGATTATTATTATATAAATGCTAGATCTTTTTCACATTGTTTTTAATTCTCTCTTGTGTTTAATTCTCTCTTCAACTCTCTACTGTTAAACCCAGTTGTATTCTTAACTTCCATTAGTGCATGCTTAGTTTTAGAATTTCTTTGTTTTGTATAATTTTCTATTTTCTGTCTGAATTCACCATCTTTTCTTTCAGTTCCTTAATAATTATAAAATTAATGAGCCAATATTGATACATTATTGTCCCTTTGCCCTCAGATGTCCCCTCTCAGGAGACATGCAGAGATTGCTGGTAATTATATAGGACAAAATTATGTAAGTGCAAACTTTTCAAAATGTGTGTTTCCTTGAAGTTTTCCTTTCAAATCACATGAAAAAGCAAATAAAGAGATGGAATATATACTGAGATACAGGTACAAAAATATCAGTTGGCGTTACATAGAAAGAGAATGTGTTAAGTGTTTTCACAATGGTTCCAACACTTCTTTGTAACAGAAGGTAGCGATAAAGAACATTTGTGGGTATATACTTTGTGTCATATGACATAACTTGAAAAGATAGATAAGCAAGTTACTCTGTCCTTAAAAGAGGCTTCCGAAGTTGAAGGCAGATATCTGTATTGAAGCATCAAGTGGCACTGATTGAATATATCTGCACTAAGTTGGAGAAGTAAAATTGTAAAGGTTATTCTTTTGAAAAATTTTATTTTATGATTTCATAATTTATAATTAGAATTTTTATCCATTTATTTAGTTTGCAGAACAATGACAAAATGAAAAGACAAAAGTGAGAGTTACAAGCAGCAGCAAAGATGAATTAGATTTAGACTTTATACAGATAATTTAGAAGAAAATTGTTATATATCCCCAAACAACAGGACCACAAATAGCAAGTAATATAAGAGAACCAATTGACTATTTATTCTATATTTTGCAAATAAATTAGTGGGTTGTGTAATAAAAGAAACAAATCATTATGCAGATGAAAAAAATAAGGAAAAAGCAGCTATCACACAAATCGATTTGACATAAGTTGTATGATGTTGACCGGCTGGAATTTTTAGCTTTTATCACAGTAATCCTAATGGGAATAATTCAAGTACCAAATTTGCAAAAGTACTGGTCCACTGCTTTCAGTAGTAAAATACCCTTTATTTTTGGAAATACTCAGTAGAGAAAGGTTTATGCAAATCTTCTGGATGCTTCATTTGAAGGCACCTGTGTCAAGAGATGGGATGATCAGAACTTATATTCAGAAGGCCAATAATTAAGTGGAATACATTGATTCAGAATTTTCACAATATTTCATACCAGATCAGGCATTTTGTGTTGATGAATCCATTGTTCAGTTTAAAGGGCAAATATCACTTAGCAGTCCAAATAAGCCTTCCAAATGGGGTATATGCATTTATGCACTAGCTAATTCTAAAACAGGGTATTTTTTCTCAGTACTTCCCTACTATGGCAGCATAACATCTGAAAACTTTGTTTGACCTATCTTTCAGTAAGCACCAGAGTTCCATTACATTTGTATAAAAAGTTGTTGAAAAAAAGTTTCCAATGCCTGCAGGATACCACATGTTTACTGACAGATGTTACACTAGTATTGTCCTTGCAGAAGAGCAACTAAAGTTGAAATGTCATCTTACTGGTATAATCAAAGTCAACTGAAAGGGAATACCGGCATAAATTTTTTTAAAAATGGAAGGACAAGAGGATTGTTACAATTCTCAGCACTTGGACTCATACAGGAATGAAATCTACCACAAGGATTGTGTGGTGGAAATATTATCAAAAAGCCTGAAATGATTCTCAATGATATTGCAAATATGGGCAGTGTGGATTGTGTGGGTCAGTATGCTTCTACATGTTTTTTCCAAAAATCTTTAAAATGGTGGAGGAAATTATTCTTGTAGGCTCTAGAAATTATGCATTATTAATGCCTATATACTGTACTAAGTATAAAAAAAAGAAAAATCGGTGTCCCATTTGAAGTTTGTCAAGCTTCTGATCGGTCAGTTGAGAAGTGGTTTTCAGGACTTACAAGTGCATCCTTCCACTTCAGACAAATTATATATTATTAATGTGTGAGGAAGAAAATGAGACTGCATTGTCTGCTCAAATAGAAAAACAGCAGGTGGGAGACATCAAACAAATTACTATTGTACCACATGTATCAATGAACCTGTAATGCATGTCAGTGATTGTTTCACACATTACCACGTTAGAAAAATATAAGATATAAAGTTTTGATTTTTTTGTCATAAATAAGTTCTTCAATGTCCAAAATCCCATTATAAACCAGATAATATTAAAATAAAATCATGGCCAGGCTCGGTGGCTCAGCCTGTAATCCTGCGCTTTGGGAGGCCGAGGTGAGTGGATTGCCTGAGCCCGCGGGTTCGAGACCTGCCTGGGCAACTTGGCGAGACCTCATCTCTACAATAAATCAAAAAATTAGCTGGGCGTGGTAGCACGCGCCTGTAATTCCAGCTACTTGGAAGGCTGAGGCAGAAGGATTGCCAGAGCCCAGCAGGTCGAGGCTGCGGTGGCCGGGAGCGGCCACTGCACTCCAGTCTGGGCGACAAAGTGAGACTCTAACTCAAAATAAAATAAAATAAA